TTACACAACGAAACACACAGCGACTCCACAACATGGCAGCCACCGGCAACAGCAAGCATTAAAGTTACGCCTTCTTTTTTTGCGTGAACATTTGGGCGGCGTTATGCAAATCTTCCCACATCTTGATGTAGATATGTGGGGGCGTGTTTAAACAAGGCGTTTTAGGTAGGCGTGGTTGAGTCTTACCTTTTATAAAGAATATCTCTTTGGATTTGTGACTTTAGTCTTTGCAACTTTACAGATCTTCTTTATGCACCAATAGCTTGTAACACTCCAAAGAGAAAGGAAAAATTGAAATCGCATCATATGACACCTTTAAACTCAATCGCCAACATTTCTGCTACATCCTCAGAGTTTGAGGCTCATTTGAATTATCGGGCATGCAGAAGTTTTATTATGCTAGTAGGTATAATAATTAGTTGTACATTTAAAGGATTTATTTAGCCTATGTTTATTGGGTTAATACTGAGTACTGCTTTTCCAGCGTTAATATTAAGTGAATGGGTTCTGAGATAAGCTCTCATGCGCATTTTACGCACGTACATATAAAACATTAATAAACAACACTCAGATGGCTGATATAAAATCAATTTAACAGCTGAAAAATACTGCTAGAAAGTTGTCCAAGCATAAAACGTCAAATCAACGAGTACGAGCCCAATGCAACCGGCACATAATAGTATGCGATGACAGAGAAAGGAAAAATTGAAATCGCATCATATGACCCCTTTAAACTCAATCGCCAACATTTCAGCTACATCCTCAGAGTTTGAGGCTCATTTGAATTATCGGGCATGCAGAAGTTTTATTATGCTAGTAGGTATAATAATTAGTTGTACATTTAAAGGATTTATTTAGCCTATGTTTATTGGGTTAATACTGAGTACTGCTTTTCCAGCGTTAATATTAAGTGAATGGGTTCTGAGATAAGCTCTCATGCGCATTTTACGCACGTACATATAAAACATTAATAAACAACACTCAGATGGCTGATATAAAATCAATTTAACAGCTGAAAAATACTGCTAGAAAGTTGTCCAAGCATAAAACGTCAAATCAACGAGTACGAGCCCAATGCAACCGGCACATAATAGTATGCGATGACAGCTGTATGAAGCTCTCTTATAGGACAGTGTCACCTGATAAAAGAAATCGCATGCCTCTCTGCATTCTGTGCAGATCTCGACAACGCAGATGAATTATGCTCCTCTTAGAAACGTATCCACTTTCTTACCTCTCTCCTGACATTGAGCAGAGAATAATAATCTTCGTTATCTACTTCCAATTCATTTTCCAAGGCAGCCGCCATGTTCCCAGTGTCCCAAATCCCATCCCTCCGATTCCTACTACGGCGAAGGCCTTTCTCATTAATATTAATTACGCAACGTGACGTTTGGCCAGTACGCAAATCTGATTTGTTAAAAAACTGACGTTATAAGGTAGGCGTTTGTGATCTGGCGAATCCCGCTTTAGCGAAGGCTTGGCTCGTGAATATTACATGAATTACGTCAGCAAACGCTTCGAGAACTCGGCGAGCTGACGTCAGCACGACTAAATTAATATTAATGAGTTTAGGCTTCGCCATAGTTAATCCGCCAATTCGCCTACGGCTGAGGCTCAGGACTCAGATTTTCTTCTGCCACCGTGTGTTCTGGTTCTGGAGAGAGGGAGAGTTATGAAACTTTAATTTTAAGTTTAAAATTTAAATATACCCGCTATTAGACAGATTCCTGGATGATAAAGTTTGATTTAAATAATCACTCTGGGTTAATGTTTAATGGATATATTATTATTTGTTTTAAATAATTAATTTGGACATTTAAATATTCATTAAATATGAATCCAACAGCCTTATTATTTATTTTAAAACACAATGGTAGCGTTATGATTAATTCTGCACTCACATACTGTCACGGAAACGGATGTGTGGAGGCAGGCAGGACGACGAGGACAACAAGAATTCCACTACTCACTTTTAATGTAGACACAACAAGGCAGGTACAGGTAGGTGAAACACACACACTCGGGGTAACATTCACAATAACCGACACTAAAGCTCTGACAGACAGGAACTAATATATGGTGGATAATTAGTGGCAGACAGGTGAGCACAATGAGGGTAATTAATGATTAGTACGGGCTAAACCAACACAAAGGGAAGAAACCACAACAAACAGTCCACAGGGGCGTTACACATACAGTAGGGTACATATATGTTCTTTTATATACTATTTATTTCCACGAACATGTTTAATCAATTTTAGAAGAAGTTTAAAGGGAATTTATACTTTAGGTCACCATTTGTCACCGTTGTTAACCACATTTTGACGTAATTCCAAATGTTTGTAGCATATTACTTTTTTAATCTATACAGTGTCTCAGAATTATAATAATAGGCCTACTGCATGCATAATAATTGTATGTATTTTTTCTCTTAGTTTTAAGATTCTGTTGTTCAAATAACATTCGCAGTCATCACTACGCGCTGTGTTGATTTGGCTTGATTTGGGAAAGCGGCAGACCGACACATGTAATGCTCAGTCTGTTTGTGGTGGAGCTGTTCTTTCAGCACCATCTCCTTCAGCACCCACGAGTGGACAGCGCTCAAGAACTCATCATGACCGAGACTGGAGCCTCCAGGTGTTTCTTTTTTCTTTTCTTTCTTTCTTTTTTTTTTTGTTAATTCTGTTGCATCACTGCTGCCTTGCAACACAATAACCTTTTAGTGCAAAACCGTCATAATGCTTAAGCCCATGCCATTCTGGTTTCACAATCATCTTCAGCACGAGTGGCAGATTAACGACTCTAACATGGCTGTTAACATCTAATTATATGACACAGTGGGGCATGTTATTAGTACTTAGACTGCTGGACACGTATCTCGATTAGCAGTGTTATAAAATAGTTTTTTACGGTCCCGGTGGGCAGAACGGATATGGGTGTCTGTCAAGCATGCATTCATAAACATTCGTCGCATAGACTTAAATATAATCCACAGATTCTGCTTTTCATATATGCATATTACAGGCTTCCACTAAATCCGATCCAAAAACCTTATTGGTCGCTGCATTGTAAAGGTGTCTCCTAAATAAAACCGATTCACCAATGGCGTGGAAGAGATGGATAAAAGGGGGATATGGATTTCGCAAATTCACGAAGCATCACCGAAAACACCATTGTCATTTATGGCACTTTGCGGCCAATAGCTAACGCGTATTGACGCTCGCGCCTCCCGCCGCTCGCCGCGTCCTCGCCGTGAACGCGCGTGGTACCCCCCCCGGTCGCGAGGAGGAGGAGGAGGAGGATGTGGCGCGCGGAGGGGAAATGGCTGCCGAAAACAAGCCGGAAGGTAAGAGAGAAATAACAAGATTATTATTTTTAATTTCGCAGCTTTGTCGGCGTTAAGCTCCAGATGATGAAGGTCAGGATAGGGATGCGCGGCGGAGAAAGTCAGTGACATTTTCGCTTAGCTTGTGTTTGTCACGAAATGGCAAAAGAGCTGAAGCGCTGATGGGATTAGCCATCTCTGATACGGCTATTAAAATAACGGGAACGGAGTTAGGTAATCACGGGTTACGTTCATTACGCGACTCCTTTCATCGCAAAGCACACAGAGGTTTTTCAAAGTCACACGCATCCAAGTCAAGCCGAGCCACAGCCTTCGATAGATGAAGAGAAACATGTTTTTCCTATAAGTGAGACGCGCACATGAGCGCATCAGACGAAATGAACGCGTGAAATGACTCGCGTTTGGTTTGAAGTGGGATTCCTCCACACCGCATCCACGCTCCCCCCGTGGGCTGACAAACAAGCGAGCTCCGTGAAGTCAAACGCGGTCAACTACTTCATTTTTCTTTCGCATTGAACAGGGCGACGCTTTTAACTCCGAAAGCGATAAATGCAGATTTATGGTGATGCTCTAAAACGTAATTGATTTCTTTCCACCCCCACCAGAACCCCCCCCCCCCCGAATTATTTATTCAACTAATTTTTTTTCTTCCAAATCAAGGCAGTCAAGGAAGTTTTGGTCCATAACAGCCACAGGGTGGTGCCATTGAGCTGTGCAAATCTATACCCCCCTTCAAACCCCCCAACACACACACATACACACACTGGAACTAAGAGTGATAACTAAGCTTGCCTATTAAAGAATTCCGTCAAAGTGGAATTCGAACGACTTGATGTGTCCTGTTTACCAGTGCTTCCAGTACTAAATCCTTGGCCATCACTGTTAAAGAGTCGATATGAAAATGAACAGCTATGTTTACCAATGTTTAGGTGACAACAGGGGGAAATTAAAGTGTTGGATGGTTTAGCTCTCCAGATTTTAGTTCCAGTAATTTGCATGCTTTTTATGTCTCACATTATGTGTTGCGTACAGCGTCAGACTTTGCTGTTTTCATAAAGGGATAGTTCACGCAAAAATAAAAATCATTTACTCACCCTCACGGCATTCTAAAATTTGACTTTCTTCTGTGGAACATTAAAAAAAGATATTTTGACCAATGTCATGTTTTTTTCTTTCTTCTTACAATGAAGATCAATGGCAAACATAACTATTTGGTTACCCACATTCTTCAAAATATCTCAGAGTATGAGAAACAGTTTGGAATGACACGAGGCTGGGTAAATGCTGACCGTTTAAATTTTTGGATGAACTGTCCATTTAATGAGCAGCAGTTAAATTCTTAGTTTCAAGCTAATTTTGTGCATCCATGTTCAAAAGCACTTTTTTTTCTTGCCAACTGCATTTAAGAATCCAGTAAGCCACAGAAATTAGTAGAACCTCATCGTGTGGTATGATTCAACGTGTAGATTTAGCTCCTCGCCAGCCTAGTTGATTGCACACCTACGTGCGCATCTTGTATGCAATACACGGCTGCTGGAAAAACTCACAGATGCAAGCGTGATGGCAGCTATTTTTCTTGAACTTAAAATAAACCCGAATGACCTTTTGACCCGTAGTGCATGAAGCAGTCATTTGCGGCAGGGCAAAACTTTATCGCAGCGTCACAGTCATAATGCGCCAGGGTCATTCAGAAGGTGAGAATAAAAGCAATTAATGACCTCTGCATGAATAGAAAGTAGAGGGCGTTGTATTTTTGTACCTACAGACCTTCTCCCCTCACTGCTCCCTCCCTCACTGTGTCCCCTGTAGGACTGAAGAAAATACGTAATCCAGATCGAATGTACAGAACCGCCGTCGGTTACACCGGCCACGTTCCTCCTAAGAGTGTCAGCGATGACACAGACAACAACAGTAAGAGAGCTGGCTTCCTTTGCACTGCATCCCTCAAAACATGACAATGTTATGAAATGCTGTTCATCTTCTCTGCCCATTCGTTTACATACTGTATAACCTCATTCTCGCAGCTGGTGCATGTATAGTTCATCAAGAGTCTTTTTATAGTATTACCAGAGCCCAAACCAGAGAAAGATCAAATTATTACAAGACTTCAGAGTCTCTAGAGCATATGATCTAAAACCTTGCTCTCAGCACAATAATGGTTGTTTTCCTGGCGTGTTTACCAGGTTCAAGAGCTTAGCAAATTCTATCAAAGCAATTTGTAATAAGCCAACGTTCAGCTAGCAGGTGACTTTTAGCACAGGGAGTCGGGAGGGAGAGGGCCTTCTTGGTAGATCAGCTTAAAAAAGGTCAGCGTCTCATTTTCATTCAGCTCCATTACAGATGATGTTTATTCATGCATGGCCATGCTGCTCCGGAACGAGCGGCATATTTTTGGAAGCAGCAGCTCCTTGTCATGGCTAATCAACGCCCGGCACTCTTTGAGCAGAGCCCAGGCGTTGGCTTGCGTGGGTGTGGATGAGGGTGTGTTCGCATCCTGGTTCCCCATTGGAGAGTTCTTGTTGTGCTTCGCTCTCTCTCCAGCCGTTCTCAGTGATTTCACTAAGTGATCGAGGCTGTTTCGAAGAGACACTCACTTAATGAAGACACTCCGACATGGACACTAAGCGGCAGGAGCTCTGCTGCCCAGTTGTTGCGGGCTAACGGTGTAATTAGCGGCTGGAGGGATAGACATCTCCTCCGTCACTGGCCATGTTGGCAACCAGTGGCTTAATGGCCGCAAGTTTCGGGCTTAAATCACTCTTTGGTAATCCATTGATTAGGCTACAGATGCACCAATCGATCGGCCAGGGATCAGAATCGGCCGATTTTCCTCATGATCGGCCCGGATCTGTGATCGGTCGGTCAGTCTCACTTCTTTCTGATTTCGAGCCGATCTGTTTTGTTACCAGTGGCACAGGCAATAATGTCAGCCGCGCATTCTCGCTCTCTTCTCTCCGACGACCCCTTCTCTCTCACACACGTCTCATTCGCTCCGGTTAAATAGTGCAAGAAAATA